AAATAAAATGCTCCAAGTTGGGTGATGGAATATCTTGTTCTGGGGATAGCACAGAGGGCCGTGTCACTAGCTTGAAGAGTACTTGGGGGAACAGGGTGTAAGGCATAAAAAAACTAGAAATTTGAGGTAAGGCTAGGTTATGTAAAGTTTTTAATGCCAAATAGAATTTTATATTTGATCCTAGAGGTAATAGGGAACCAGTGGAGTAAATTGAGTGGTGGAGAGGAGGAAGGTGATATGATCAGACCTTCACTTTAAGAAAATCACTTTGCAAATGAATGGCAAATGGACTGGAGAGGGGAGAGAATTATATTGCAATAGTCCTGGTGTAAGGAAATGGGGGTGTGTACCAGGAACATGGCCATATCAAAGGAGAGAAGGGGGAATATTCAATAGACGCTGAAAATGTAAAATTGACAGGCCTTGGTAATAGCTTGTACGTAGGGGGGCATGAGAGATATAGAGGAATAGAAGATGAAACCAAAGTCATGAGCCTAGGGAACCAGCAGGATGGTGATGCCCTCAATGGTGGTAGGGATATTTGGTAAAGGGGAGGACTTTTTGGGAAAAGATAATAAGTTCAGTTTGGGACATGATGAGTTGAAGATATTTACAGGACTTTCAGTTCAAGATGTATCTATAATTGGCAGTTGGAGATGCAAGACTAAAGGTGAGCAGAGAGATTAGAGATGGATAAGTAGATTTGAGAATATCACAGAGGTGGTAATTGAATCCATGGGAATTGACAAGATCACCAAGTGAAGTAGTAGAGAGAGAGGAGAGCAGAAGGCCCAGGATGGAGCTTTGTGGGACACTCATGGTCAGTGGGCATAACCTAGATGAAGGGCCAGCAAAGAAGACTGAGGAGTGGTCAGATAGGTCGGAAGAGAACCAAGAAGGAATAGTGTTCACAACTCTGAAGAGTGTCAAAGGCTACAGAAAGGTCAAGAAGGTCATTATTTTGAGGCAGGAGACCAATTAGGAGGCCACTGCAATAATTAATCAGGTGAGGAATGATGAGGGCACGGATTGGTGTGGTGAGTTTGAGTGAACAGAAGAGGATAAAGTCCAGGTATGTTGTGGAAGTAGAATCGAAAAGACTGGCCAAATGATTGGTTATGAATATGGAGAGTTAAGGGGAGTGAGGAGTCAAAAGGATGACTCTGGAATCGCAAATCAGGATGCCCAGAGTGATAGTGGCACCCTTCATGGAAATGGAGGCATTCAGAAGAGGGACTGATGTGCATGGCAGGGAATGGAGGTGAGAGAAAGAGAGCCAATTCTGTTTTGGGCAAGTTGAGTTTGACATCCATTTAAAATGTCCAATCTGCCTTTCATAACATTGGACTGGAACTCAAGAGAGATCAATCAGGAATTGACCTAGGATTTATCTGCATGGAAATGAACATTGAAACCAAGGGAACCGATAAGATCATGGAAAGAAAGGGAATAGAAAGAGAAGGAAGCCCCACATAGAGGTTTGGAGGAAACTCTCGTTTGGGTGTGACACAGATGATATTCTAGAAAGGAAATTGAGAAGATGAAATATACCACACTAGGTACTGGGAATATATGATTCTAGTATTCTAGTAATACCCCTAACTATCATCCTTTATCATCTCTGCCCTTTGTCCATAAATTCCCCCAAATGGCCATCTACAACAGGTGCCTCCACTTTCTCTCCTCCTACTCTTTTCTTAATGTCTTACAATCTGGCTTCTGACCTTATCATTCCACTCAACTGCTTTCTCCAGAGTAACCAATGATCTCTTAGTTGCCAAATCCAATGGCCTTTTCTCAATCCTCATTCTCCTTGACTTCTCTGCACACAACATTGATCACTCTCTCCAACTTAATATTCTCTTCCCTCTAGGTTTTCAGAAAACCAATCTTTCCAAGTCTTCTTTCTACCTATCTGATCAGTCTTCTACCACCTTTGCTTGATCCTCTTCCAGATGAAGCCATTTAACCACAGGCATCCCTTCAGGGCTCTGTATGAGCCTTCTTCTCTTCTTCCTCTATACTATTTCACTTGATGATCCCATCAGCTCTCATGGATTTGATTACCATCTCTATGCTAATGATTCTCAAATCTACCTTTCCTGTCCCAATCTCTCTGCTGACGTCCAATCTCATGTTTCCAACTGCCTTTCAGCATCTCAAACCGGAGGTCCAATAGACATCTTAAACTCCAACATGTTCAAAACAGAACTGAACCCTCCTCCACTCTACCTTCTCATTTGCTGTAGAGGGCAACACCATCTTCCCAGTCCCTCAGGCTTAGGAGTCATCCTGGGTTCTTCACTGTCTCTCACCCTGCCTCCCATAGCCAAGCTGTGGCCAAGACCTGTCAATTTCACTTTGCAACTTCTCTTGAATATACCGCCTTCTCTCCTCTGACACAACCACTACTCTAGGGCAGGCCCTTATCACCTTACAACTGGAATATTGAAATGGGTCCACCTGCCACCTCCCTCTGCTCCAAATCCACCCTCCATTCATCCACTAAGGTGATTTTTTCCCCCTAAAGTCTGACTGTGTCACTTCCCTATTTAATAAACGCCATTGGCTCCATTTTGCCTCCAAGATCAAATGCAAAATGCTCTTTTTTCTTTTCAAAGCCCTTCATGACCTAGCTCCTTCCTACCTTTCCAATCCTCTTACAATTACTCCTCTACACATACCCTTTGATCGAGGGACACTGGCCTCTTGGCTCCAGCATGTTCTCTGGCTATCCCCAATGCCTAGAATCCTCTCCCTACTCTGCTCCACCTATTGGCCTCCCTAACTTCCTTTAGATTCCAACTAAAATTTCTTCTTTTACTAGAGACTTTCCCCAACCCCTCTTAATTCTAATACCTTCCTTCTCTTAATTACTTCCTATTTCTCTTGTATATAGCTTGCTCTGTATGTATTTGCTTGAGTGTTGTCTCCCCTAATAGATTGTAAGCTCCTTGAGGGCAGGACTGTCTTTAGCCTCTTTTTGTATTCCCACAACTTAGCACAGTGCCTTAAAAATAATAGGTACTTACTAAATGTTTTTTAATTGATTGATAGATTTAGCCCCAAGTTCATACTTTTAAATTTTCATTCCTCTCTAAACAAAAGCTTACTTTTTTTCCTATTGGTTTGATTGCCTGCTCCAACCATTCTAGGGCGTTGTATAATTTAAACTTATTTTACTGAAAACAGTTCTGGACAAATCTTTTAGAGGCTATTTTTTTTTTTTACATACTGAGGGCAATCTTAGTTAAGCAACCAGCAGCGTGTGATATGCAGATTTAAGTCTAGGACCATGGGAAAGGAATGAGGAATGCCTTTTTTCTTAAAGAGAAAATAGAATAAGGAAAAAGAAAAAAAATACAGAGACAGTAAACTTTGCCTCTGTGACATGTCTGATCCCATTGGTGTTTTGTACTCTCCCTCCTCCCTCCTTTCAACTCACTCAGCTCAAAATATTCTGTGCTTTCTCATTCTCCGTGATATTCTCACCTCTTCTGCTACTGCTCCACAGAGGATCTGTTCAATACACTAATGGGCTTGCTCTGGTCTTTTTTATATCTTGAGGACACCCATGTAGCTGTGGGGCTGTCCATCCATTGTTTCATTCTTGGGATATGAATGACCCATCTCAATACCTGTTCACACACATCTGTTCATGGAATTGTTGCTGGTAGTTTAATGGCAGCCTGCTTACACTCAGTCTTGTCTTTCCATGGTCCTTTGTATCACTTGTTCATCTTTTTTTTAATCTAACAAGTATTTACTTTCTCTTCCTTCTACCTCCACCTCAAATAAAAAAAAAGAAAGACAAAAAGAAAATAAAGAAAGAAAATCTAAGTCAAGCAAAACAAATGATCACTTGGCATTCTGATTGAGCTGATATCATGGTGCTGAGTGGGGTAAATGGGAGTGTGTTATTTATTTGAAAAATGTTGTGAAAAACCTTTTATGTGAAAGATAAGTCAAACAAACTGCAATGACCCCATTTGTGGCTGTCTATTGTTGCCAGAAGGATAGACAATATATTGCTTAAGCTTATAGAATCGGGCAGCTAGGTGGCGCCATAGTGCACAGAGTGCCAGGCCTGGAGTTGGGAAGACTCATCTTCCTGAGTTCAAATCTGGCCTCAGTCACTTACTAGCTATGTAACCCTGGGCAAGTCATTTAACCCTGTTTGCCTCGAGCTGGAGAAGGAAATGTCAAACCACTCCAGTGACGATCTAGTCTGATCCTTACAAGAAGCAGTCCACACTATAATGTAATCAGTAAGTGTTCACCTAGTCTTTGTTTAAAGATATACAAAGAGGTGGAAACCACAAGACGCTCCATTTCCTAACTCAGAGCATTTTCCCTGGCTGTTCCCATCCCTGGAATGTCCTCCTTTCTCATCTCCACTTCCTGCCTTCCTTCAGGTCCCAGCCAGAATCTCTCCTTCTACAGGAAGCCTTTCCCGATCTCCCTTTATTCCAATGCCATCCCTCTATTGATTGTTTCCAATTTGTCCCGTCTGTATGCAGTTGTCTTCATGCTGTCTTCATGCTGGTGAGGTGCTGGAAAACAAGGACTGTCTTTGTATCCTCACTGATTAGCCCAGTGCCTGGCACATAGTAAGCACTTAATAAATGTATGTTGATTGACTGACTGAGCTCTTGAGGCAACTCATTCCATTTCTGGACAGCTCTGATGACGAGGATGTTTTCCCTAACATCAAGCCTAAATCTACCTTTTCTACTCATTGTTCCTGATTCAGCCTTCTGGAATGATATGGGAAAAGTTGAATCCCTCCTCCTTGTGACAAGCCTTCAAATACTTGAAGACAACCATCATGTCACTCACTGGTCTTCTCCGCAGGCTCAGCATTCCCAGTTCCTTTGATAGATGCTCATGTGATGTGGGCTTGCTCTCCTGTGCTCCCTCCCCTACACAGTATTTAGCATGATAGCAATGTCAAGTTCTGAGTCTTAACCCCAGAAAACCACATATCGATTGTGTCACAGGAATACAATGGAATACTCTTGGGCCTCGAGAAGTGACACAGCCTGCGTGTGACAAGTTTCCTGAAACATCAACCACTGGTAAAAGCATGCAAGTGAATACAGTGTGTCCCCAAACTTGCAGCTGTATGCTATTAAAAACTTAAACTTACATTAAGACTTTTAGGACACCCCAGATGACAATAAAAACTCATACTTGTATAGGACTTTTTAATGAATACTAAGGACTTTCCTCACAAAATCTATCAGGGCAGGTAACGAAAGGGTTCTTTGTAAGGTATAGAATCTGAGATTCAGAAGGGCTAAGTGATATCCAAGATCATACAGCTAGATGGAGTTGGTGTAGGGGGTCTAACCTTATTACTTTGCCACTTGGCCTTGGAGGTTTAAATAATTTATGCCGTGTAAATTTGTACGGCACTTTAATAAAAACTCTGGCTCCAGGCAGGCTGAGTCTGAATCCCAACACTAAACTTAGGCTTTTGAGCTTTTATGGTCCAGGACCTGTTATTTTCTGCATCTCAGAATCCCAGGTTGGCTGGGAAGGTAGTTCCTTCCTACAGAGACAAGAATGTCAGTGTGGAAGATTTAACTGCTTGGAAAGCTTAAAGAAAAGAGCAACTCAGGTAGAAGCTGCTCCAAGCCTAAGTAGCCAAGCGGGCACAATGGTTAGGGTATTGGGCCTGGAGTCAGGAGAGATCTGAGTTTAAATCTGAACTCAGACACTGACTAGCTGTGTGACCCAGGAAAAGCCACTTAACCTCTGCTTGCCTCAGTATCCTCATCTGTAAAATGGGGATGAGAAGAGCACCTACCCTCCAGGGTTGTTGTTAGGATAAAATGAGATTTGTAGAATGCTTTGTAAATTTTGAAGTGCTGTACAAGAGCTCAGTTTCCTCATCTGTAAAATGAACTAGAGAAGGAAATGGCAAACCACTCCCGTATCTTTGCCAAGAAAATCTCAAGTGGGGTCATGAAGAGTCAGACACGATTGAAAAAATGACTAAACATAAAAGCTATCTATCATTATCACTCCAAGGGCCTGGACACATCTCCTATATGCTCCTTACACCCCCCCCCCACACTCTTTGATCCCCTGCCTACCCCACCCCCCTAGACTTCCTAAATGTGTAGTAAGAAGTTTATATTTTAAAAACCAAGAAAACTAATTTTGGATCTATTTTTAAAAAGTAATCTCATAGCTCAGTGATCATGTCAGATTATTATAAAAAAGACCTTCTAAGCAAGGACCCGATCCTCTATATACAGGTCTGAGAATTTTGCAGAATGTAGGAGTGGGTAGGAGGGAGTACTGAGCTCTCACCTGGGGTGAAATTTCTCCAGGCCACCCCACAGAATAGTTCACAGAACACCATGTTAGCTCAGGGGCATATCACCTCTGACCTTAACTATTGAAATAGCCTTCTGTAAAAAGTCTTATTCTTATCAGGGAGGCTAAATAGGTGGTGCTTTGAATAGAGTTATGGACCCAGAGTCAGAAAGATCTGAGTTCAAATGTGGCCTCAGACACTTACTAGCTGTGTGACCCTGGGCAAGTCACTTAATCCCTGTTTGCCTCAGTTTCCTTATCTGTAAAGTAGGGATAATAATAGCATTTACCTATCAGAGTTGTGAAAATCAAATAAAATAATAATTATAAAGTGCTTACCATGGTACTTGACACATAGCAATTGCTGTATGGATATTAGCTATTATTATTATTATTTAAAGGCTTATCTCAGATGCCGCCGCCTGTGTGAAACCTTCCATGATAACCCTATCTTCTTCCTGCTTCTGGCTGAAAGTGAGCTCTCTCTCCTTAAATTTCTTTACAGTAATTTCAGAGGCAAAATGGTTGATTGGAATTGCATAGCCCAGAGAAGAGGAAGACCTAGATTTGAACCCCATCTCTGACATTTAGTCACTAGCTGGGTGACCAAGGGTAACTCTGACCCTTATTCTACTCATCTAATGAGGATGATGGGGATAATAATGGGGAGAATAATGCCCATACCGTTTACTACATCACAAGATCTCTGTGAAGTTCAGCCTAGAGAACACGGGGTATCCCTAAAGTCTTGGTGCAGTTTTAAGCTATCCAAGCTCCTATAAGTGAAGTGCTTTGCAAACTTTTCAGCACTCTGTGCGCATCAGTCATTATCATAACTTTGCCTGGATCTTCTCTAAGTACTTCTTCCACTCTCCTTTGTATTGCTGCTATTGAAATAGATTTCTTTTACCCCTAGTAGACTGTAAACTGCTTAAGGTACCCAGGAGAGTAGGAAGGTCATTGAATTTGGAGTCAGGACATGTGGATTTGGCTATATCCTGGTTCAGGCATTACTAGCTGTGTGACCTTGTCCAAAAACAATAACCTCTCTGTGTCTCTAATTCCTTCATCTGTAGACTGGAGATAAAATGGCTCCTATTTCACAGGATTGCTTGGAGGAAAACACTTCGTAAACTCTAAGGGGGCTAGAAGATGTGAGCTATTCTTAGTACTGAGGCGTCTGAGAGCAGTGTGGTGCAGTGACCTTGGAGCTGAGAAACAGGTTTAAATCTCAGTTCTTGCATTTTGTAGCTATGGGACACTGGGTGCTGTTCTGAGCTTCAGTTTTCTCATCTGCAAAATGGAACAATGAATAAGTAGACAGTCTATGCTACACCCCCAGGGCTGTTATGAGGCTCAGATGACCTGATGCACATTCTCAGGACCCAGCAGAGGAAGGAGGCACTTATCAAGGTCAATGTGCATTTATTAAGCACTTACTGGGTACCAGACCCTGTGCTAAGCCCTGAGGATTTAAAGAAAGTCAAAAACACTGGCCTTTGCCCTCAAGGCTATCATAGTCTAAGGAGGAGACAAGATGTAAATGTCTAGGGACATGGGCAGAATGGGAGGATGAGAACAATTTGTACCCGCGATCAGGGAGGCGGCTGAGGTAGGCTTTGTGGAATGCTCAGATCTTGGTCAGACATTGAAGACACCACAGTCATCCACTGAATCCCGGGCCATCGCCAGTCATCCTGACTTTTGTCCCGCCACTGGATGTGGATGACTTTGGAAGAGAAAGTGAGGCTGACAACTTTGTGCAACTCTACCTCACTTCTCACTTCACTCCAATTCACCATCACTCTGTGATATCATCTCTTTGAAAATGAAGCATGAACAACACTTAGGGATATGCAAGATGTTTGCTCAGTGAATGGCAGGAAATCTGAGGGCACAGCCCTAGCAGCTGGAGTCACTATGAAAGGCCTAATTTAACTAAATGGAAACCCAGTACGAAACACTGGAAATACTGGCCTTTTTCCAGACTCCCACTTGGACTGGCTGTTGCTGCCTGGCCTGGAGCCAAATTTCAAATCCCAGACCTTGGTCAGGTCTTTACTACTGGCTGCCTGCTGACTGGCTGATGAATTAAACTGAGGATCACTGAGGCTTAGGCTGTCTTCCTGCAAACCTGTGGAGGGAGGCTCTGAAGAGCCATGTGCATACCTGTATGAATAACAGCACAACAACCTCTCATGATGATAAGGCACTTTAAGGTTTACACAGGATGCCCTCATAATAATCCCATGGTACACTGGTGCAAGTCCTATCATTGCCACTTTATAGGTGAGGGACTGAGAAGGCTCTGAATAGAAGAGATTTGTCCAAGGTCTTATAAATGTTGAAACCAAGACTTGATTCATTCATGCTCTTAATACTGCACCAGCACTATAAATTAAGTCTTGTTTCCTCATTGACTTGCATGATAATTTCTACATAATAATAACCAGCATTCCTATAGTGCTTTACAATTTGCAAAGAGCTCTACAAATATAATCCCATTTGATGCTTACAACAATCTTAGGGGAATAAGTGCCACTATTTTCCTCATTTTACAGATGAGGAAACTGAGGCAGCCAGCAGCTATGTGAATTCTCCAGTGCCACAAAGCTAGTAAGTGGCTGAGGCTGGATTTGAACTCAGGTCTTCCTAACATCAGGCACATTGCTCAGTCCCATGCACCACCTAGCTGCCTCTTTATTTAACTTTCAACAATCATCTGTCAACGTATGTAAAAGTTGCAAACCTTAAAGCACTATGTAAATGGTTCCCATCAAATTTATTTACAATGCAACGTGCAGTTGGTAGAGATATAGCAGTCTGTTTTGCTTTTCAGTCACATCGGACTCTTTGTTGACCCCATCTGAGGTTTTCTTGGTAAAGATGCTAGAGTGAGTTGCCATTTCCTTTTCCAGTGGATTAAGGCAAACTGATGTTAAATGACTTACCCAGGGTCACACAGCTACTGAAGCCTTATTTGAACTCAGATCTTCCTGACTCCAGGTACAGTGCTCTCACCACTGAGCCTTTTAGCTGCCTCTATCTACTTCTATAGCAACCCCAAATGTTTGTTTTGTTTTTCCATTGAACTTTTGAATTGCATGGTCCATCAAAACGGAATTCACCTTATTTTAAAGAGGAAGGTCACAACTAGCGCGGTTCTCCTATGACATCCTCCATCCTGCGTGGGTGGTGGGCTCCTCATCAGTCGTGCGCCTCACTGTAAGTATGCAAAGAACTGCTCTGCTGGCTTTTGGAGGAGGAAAAAGAACCCAGTCTACTCCATGGTTTTTTATATGACACCATCAGCAGTCTTGTGGGGTACTTTTTAATTGCTTTGGGTGAGCGGATGAGAGACGTAGGCTTTTTTTCTTGTTTGCCTGGTTTGCATTCTGCCTAGTGATGTATTGCTGGGTTTTCCCTTTGTTAATGCTGTTTTGTATGCAGATAAGGTGAAAGCAAAAGCAGGGCCCTGATTCCAGAGGGAGGGCCAGTGTCTGCATTTCTTGGAGAGTGGGTATGGATTGTTTTGATTCTCTGGTAAACGGAAAGCTCATCAGAGGTGGGATGGGAGGCTAGCATGGGTCCAAGTCCCCAGGTGTCAAATTCATAAAATCACAACAAGTCCAAGTTAGATTGACCATAGTCTAAAACACACACACACACACACACACACACACACACACACACACACACACACATACACCCCCTTAATTTTGATTTTTATACTGAATGTAACATGCATTGT